CAAATGAATGAGAACAGAAACAAAAAAAATAGTCCGGTACTACGCAATGGAGCGTATCGCAGCTTGCCAGATGCAAAGTAAGGAGCCCACTGTCCAATCATAACATTCACGATATCCGGGGCTAACGAATTGCAGTGAGAACAGCGTGAATTTTCTTATTCCAGAAAAGGCGATAGTACGGGACTAAAAACAGCATGTGTGAAAAGCCCCCCCCCCCAAATAGTCTGGGGTTAAGGATAGAACAGGGCTAAGCAAAGTACGGGGTTAATCAAAACCAGTGTGAAAAGAGTATAGGTGTTATGCAGTGGTATGTTAATTTACTATGTATGACAGGTTTTTTCTTCCTTTTCCCTTTTATTATTATTATTATCAGAGTGTAATGTAAATAAATATGTTATGCCATTATGTTAGCCTTTGAGAATGTTGATATCTTACTAAAGTTTGAATAATAATACATATAAACAAAAGAGGTGAAGAATATATATCGCTAGGGCATGATGGAATTTTTCCATTTCCCATTACATTTGGGTCAGTAAATACTTCCAGGAACTCGCAGGCCCGCCACTGGCTAAGCAAGGCAAACCCTGTCGTTGAGAGCGAGGAACGTAGTCTACGAGATTCAGGCATTCAAGATGAGTATGCAGGGTAGCATTATAAGAGATATCACCAGAGAATACATGTCTCTCTGGTATCATGGTGCACTTCTTTCGTTTCTAGTTTCACACTCAACCAGATGCGAGCTAGAAGGCCGTTCACTAATATGATTCAAGGGTTAACATCCTGAATCTAACTGAAGATTAGTCTATTTATTCTGGTAAACAAACAATTTACCAAGATATTCATCTGGTAGACATTCAAAACCATGCTTCAATAAAGGGAGCGGCAGGAGTACAAAGAAACCCAACACTCAGCAAATAATCACAAAATATTTAGAACATTCATCAACATAATTCTCCGGATAATTAATTTTACGTCGGGTTTGGAAGGAAAAAAAAGAGATAAAAATATCTCAAGGACAGAACATATTCATAAGAGATGACAATCAGACCAGAAAAAAGAGGTTAGCAGTGAATATGAGGGATATCAGAGTCTAATGATTACAATTGAATAACATATTCAGTTAAACATCAGTTGCCGAAAAATTACAACGCTATGCGAGGACATTTATAAGTACCTTCCTCCATGATTTACAATGGTTTTTATTGCCGTCTGATTGCTTCAGGTGTGAACCTATCACAGAAGTACCATCAAAGCAACAGCTATTAATGGGGCACCATTTATCACGCAGCTTTTGATTCGGAGCAGGCAAGGAAACATATACAGAATTGAAAGGGTGTCAGATAAGGTGGGGAGGGGGGGGGGGGGGACTAAGGGAATATCCACATAGGGGCACCAATAATTACCTGCAATGACAATGTATATTGACCGTAAATCGGTAGAGGTTTTACCAACGTATTACCAAAAGCATGCAAAGAGCATAACAAATGATGATTTCTTCTTTTCTTTGAGAGGATGTTATTTTTGTTAAAATGTAACATGCAGTCCTCTACAAAAACCTGCACCTCTAATCCTATGAAATTCAATAAATGGAACAATTTGAACAAAGCAAGTCCAAAACATTTTTTCTAAATAAAAGCAAATAGATATTTGTGTGGTAGAAAAAGCTGTTTTATCCAGCATGAGGAGAAAGTGAAGAAATCTTTTAAAGAGAACGTTATTTCAAAAGTTTGAAATATGAAATTTAAAAATATGTCATGCCGACAAAAACAGTTACAGGTAAATGAAAAAGTATTGCAATGTAAGAACTTTAACCGATATGAAAATCATTCTTAACCAACAAATAACTTCTTTTTAGAAGAGAAAAGCAGACTTTAAAGTAAATTCAACATCCAAACCCTTTCTTAATTATAGTACTTTTTAATGAAAGAGATTAGGTAAGATGATGAATATGCAAGCTTAATGTGAATAGATCATAAAGAATGAAGTTGAATGATGTTTGAGTTGCATCCATTCCCGGGCCATGTTCTCCATTTACATGCATGCATAACAACCAGTCAAGATAGTCCAAAGACTCTAAACATAAAGCTATTGGTTCAGTGAAAAAATACATGGGGGCTCGGGTCGAAATAGCCCCCGAAATGCCCAAAAGAGCCCTTGAAAATCAGAAAAGAGCCCCCATAAATTTGCATAGAGTTCAATGCAAAACAAATTTCAGAATGTTATATTCATGCAGGCGAGCTTGAAAAGTAGCCCCCGAAAAATAAATATTAATTTTTTCCCTGTAATGGTTCTGATTAAGTGTTAAAGCAGAAGTCCATCCTGATATTAATTTGGTTTTAATAAAAGCAGAAAAATTAGAGAAATAAATTAGTAAAATTTTGAGCAATATCCGATTAAAAATAGGAAAGTTATACATTTTTGAAGTCGTCATCAGTGAAACACAAATTGGCAACACTGGACTTCCCCTTAAACTAGATGCAGACTTGATCAAGGCAACAATTGTGAAATTATGTATCCGACTACAACCACACACAGCTCATTTTGATATAAAATTCTCCCCCCAAAAAAAGAGGAAGAACTATTCTAATTCAATCTTTGAGAAGTTGATCAACTTAAAATACATTTCACAGTATACCATGCACATGCAAGGCACGCAACCAATATCAGCGTTCTTCCTCATGTCTGCTTTTATCATTTTAATATTTGGTCTTGAATTCTTGAATTACATCTTCTATACCTGATGAAATATACCCATCAAAAATGTTTGGAAACTCAAGTTTGATCGATTGTCTCTCTTGTCATGGCATAATCATAGCTTTGTTTAAAACCTTTAGAAAGTGTGTTTATTCCTCTATAACACGACACAATGTCTGGTACGATTTTGCTGCCATGGAAAGAGCAGTACATCAGAATAAGGCAAGTGATCAAACTTGAGTTTTCAACTTTTTTGGTGGGGTTTACATCAACAGTAGTGGATTTTCCCTAGATTCTCAAAGATGGATGGATTTATCTTTTAATATAATTGGAAACAGCTTTCAATATTATTAATGTAATAGTATGGTCAGCATTTATAATCCCTAATGTGCATGGGGATATGATTTTATTTGGCAATTTGCTTGGTGAGTTGATATTTTGGATCACAAAATGATTTCTAAACTCGTAATTAATTACGAATATGATTGCGTCTTTAATTTGACTTTGAAGTCCTATCACTGACTTCACATCACAGTTATCATAATATATGACATCGGGAGAGACATTACATTTAGGTCAGTAATGACATAGAAGGAATGCTGAACAAAGGAACATGCATCCAAGATGCCTTGCTTTCAGGCCAAATGAGTTTTCCATCCCTTCTAACAGAAAATAAAGTGAATACAGAGTCTAGAAAATGTAGACTATAATAGTCAGACTATCAGCCTTTTCACACACAGCTAAAATTCATCGTATCTAGAGATGATTAGAATCACTCAACAGTTTTAAACATGTTTATAGACAAAATTTCCCAGTGTGAACATCGTTTATACGATGTTGGGATAGATACGAAGTCGCGATCCATACGCCCCTAAAAGCAGGCTGCAGATACGAAGTTCGTATCTAGAGAGCTTGACATTTTGTGTGTGAAAGGAAATTTGTGTTTAAACGTGTTTAAACTGGATGGAGCGTGCGCTTTGATTGATATGACATGACCTTCAATGCGCAATGGCACTACTGTGCATTTCACGAGCAGTAGTTAATCACGAAACTATTAACGATCGCAACGAAATTTCTGTGTGTGAAAGACTCGTGATTAGTTTAAACACGTTCGAAACACGTTTAAACTAGTCATGTTTATAGAATTTTAGCTGTGTGTGAAAAGGCTGTATTTCTCTTCTAAAATGGTACAGGTCCCTGGTATGAGCAATTAGTGATGTTAAAAAAAAATTGTTTTGAAATTGGGATCAGAAATTTCATTATGTTTGCTTGAATGAACACTAATCAAGAGATCCTAATCACTATTTGAACCCACTTATTAAGGTACGTGTTTGTCAATTTTCTTTCTCATTCTTTTAATTTTTGATAACCACGGTTATTTGCCTATATTGTCTAATTACCCTTGAGTCTATAGATTCAATGATATCCATTAGGAAACAAAACCTACTCTCCCAGAAAATGAAAACCCATTAATATCCAATATAGGATTTCTGTGAAACCAGACAATTTTGCACACACAAATTGTTTTTCTAATTAAGCATGCGAGTGTTCTAGAGTCATTACAATCTCATGCCCCGAAATAACTTAATCACAACCGACTCAACCCTGAATTTGTGCAATTAGCGAAATTAGTTTCTTTCCAAGAAACCTCCCTCTCCCTATTACAAATTGCAAGTTTAATGTGAAAGTTTCCAGGTTTACAGATTACATGAAAGAGGTAATAGGTGTTTGGACACGGTTTTTCAGTGATGATACCGGAGTCACACGATCAAAATCCGACCAATCATGACTTTACATTATCCCAAATGGACCTGTTTACTAACATATTCAAATTTTATGCATATTTGTTAAACAAAGGTTGTTCTTGACAGCCTGAAAGCTTATCCGAGGCTTGCCCGACATAGCAACATGTACTATATGCACAAACTGGATTCCAAGTACTGTTGTTCATTCATTAATAACAGGTTAAAAGAATACCCCGTCACCATAGGTCCCAGGAAAGAAACATTCATAAATTTGAATACGTTAGTAAACCTGTCTGTTAGTATTAGCCAAGAATTGATCGGTTTGGATTTAGTCTGGAGTCAGTAGGCCTGTCATCATCAGCTCGAGTTTGCCAAATAACCCGCTATTTTCAAACTCAAGATATTATCCCAAAGCTCGAGATTGCGTCATCACCAGACAGATACGCTCATAACAAACTAGCTCGGACGGGCGCAAATTAGCCCGCTGTTTACCAAATAGAGGGACATTTTGGAAACAAGACCAATATTCCTCTGGATATTTTCCTGACCAAATATCCCACTAATTGCGACTGTGGGCTGATGAAGACGCAAATTAACTGGCTTATTTGCAATCGGGATAGCTAAAATAGCGGGTTATTTGGCAAACTCGAGCTGATGAAGACAGGCCTGGTTTGAGGGTGCGGATGAGGTGGTAGGATGGTTACGATGATGACATTAATGGTGAGGTACGATGGGTTAACAAGAAGACTGAGGTGGTGGTGAGTTTGATAACTATATGTAGCACAAAGTCATCTACTTACTTTTTACCAAGCTGTCTATATGTTTCATACACCTGGCCTAAAAATGTGTGTCTGTGGAATAAGAACACATGGCAAGCACTCCAAATGAAAAGGTTCCCGAAACTAAGACAAGCAACACATTTCACAAAAATGCAAATATAAAAAGATGATTAAAAAGAAAACACAAATTTACGTTTTTTCCTGCAGCATATCTGTTCTATGCTGCACATGCAATAAAACATAATATTTTTAACACACACATTTTCTATAAAATTGATAACATAAAGCTAGATTTCAACTGCATAGCTATTGAGATAAACATGTATACTTTAAGTTTATGGCAAGGTTAATGCCTATATAATCAGTAACAGTGCAATGCAATATTTCATGTGTCATTAATGTTGGCTTGATATCTGTACATATCCATAAAAACATGAACGGACATACTATTCAGGTAGTTTGCAGCAATTAAAAACAAAACTTCTTTAAGCTCATTTTCTTAAAGATATGTCAAGCCCCCCTATCCTCCCTCATCACATCTGATTTATTTATAACATATCTGTTTTGTTCTCCTCAAGAGAGAGAGAAAGAAAGAGTGGAAGAAGTAAAGAAGAGTTACATACAGAGGCGGAAAAGGGGAGAGAGAGAGAGAGAGAGAGAGAGTGAAAGAGAGAGGGGGGGGGTGAAGAAAAGAATAGATAAAGAAAACAAATTGGGTCATGGTTCTACACGAAAGAAAACATTTGAAAGTCACAAGGGAGTGTCATTTAGTGAAAGACCTGCAATGACGTGAAATAGACACAACATATCAAATCAATACATGCATTTATAGGCCTTCAAGTTTCTCCAAAACTAATATGGCAGGCAATTTTACAAATCAGGCACAGATAGAATACTGAAGAAATTGATTTCACACCACTCAAAGTGGAATCTGTTTTCCTTGAATTCATCAAATCTGGACCTTGAGTCTCCAGAGAGTACATATCACTTATGATATAGCAACCATATGGCAATCCTAGTTTTTGCTTTTGTTTCTCTATGCACTCCCCCCAATCAATATTTGGGAATTACTTTGGAGACGGTTCTGGAAAATTGATTTCGCCTTAACTTTGGGCAATCAATTTAGCATTCCTGAACCATCGACAATCTATAGAGGGAGTGGAAGGCTATGAACATTCCCAGAACTGTGATTTGCAATAAACTTTTCTGCCTCAAAACTTCTTCTATTTATTTTCAGCTTGTATGCCCCAAGGGCATGATATACATACAATATGATACAAAAGACAGAATAAAGTATTTCTTCACTCCTGTCGCCTGCAATAGAATAGTTGACAAAATGTCAATATTTACCTCGGCGCAACAGAACTCAGTTTTGAACCCCATCTCCAAGTTCTGAGACGCAAGCAAGCAAAAAGTACAAAAAAGGGGTATTTACTTTGATTTTATTTTTTTTTGGATCCAGTTGTTAAGTCCAATTAAACTTTATGAAATTGCTTTACATCCTACCCTATCCGATCAAAAGTAATATTTATTTATTAAAAAGGAAATAGTTTATCAAATTTCCCCCCATAAATTTGCTAAACATATAATATCCGCCTATTAAATACGTCATCGCACTGGAGAGTTAAAAAAAAAAAGAATATCAGCTCTGCAGAAATGTAAAGAAAACCTTGAAAAAAACAATCATTTTCTCCCAGAACATTTAAAAAAGGAGAGTGAGAGAAAACATACAAAAAAACAATCAGTGGGATATTGCCTTGAATAAATACTTTCTACGAATCCATCAAACTGAAATTGCATCTATTTGCAATCTTTTGGCACAGCAACAAGCAATGGAAATTGAAATAGCTACAATCTATCAGCCATTTCCTGGAAACTCCCAGGCCTTCCATATAAAGTCATCTTCTCCATCCCTATAAAGTAGTTGAAGATGATGATGACGTACTATCAGACTGATGCAGGAGTTCTAGATTTCTTTCAAGTACACAAGTTGAAATAAGCTGAAGCCTTTTTTTCAATTACTTAATGAAAGATTGGCTCAGATATACGACGACAACGTTATGAAAGATATCTGAATAATTCATAACGAGAAGAAGAAGGAGGTGTATATTTGCATAATGCTTTTATTCTCAAGGTTTCATGTAGTAGTCTTCTGGGTAAAGCAAGTGGTGAACTGCAGAACAGCAGAATGATATGTTGGAGAATAAATAATGTAAATAAATCACACAATTACAGGTTAAACAGGAAGAAAAGAGAGAGAGAGAGAGGAAGAGAGAGAGAGAGAGAGAGAGAGAGAGATCTAGTGAGAGACAGATAAGAAGGGGTGAGGGAGACGGAAAGTTAAAGAGAAAGTAAAAAGAGTGTGGGAAAGAGTGTGGGAGAGAGTAAGTAAAAAGAGTGTGGGAGAGAGTAAGTAAAAAGAGTGTGGGAGAGAGAAAGTAAAAAGAGTGTGGGAGAGAGTAAATAAAAAGAGTGTGGGAGAGAGTAAGTAAAAAGAGTGTGGGAAAGAGTGTGGGAGAGAGTAAGTAAAAAGAGTGTGGGAAAGAGTAAGTAAAAAGAGTGTGGGAGAGAGAAAGTAAAAAGAGTGTGGGAGAGAGAGAGAGAGAGAGAGAGAGATGGAGATGAGGGATATAGAAAGGGGGATGCATGCATTCCTGACATATATGCAAACACAGTTGATCACAATTAAGAAAAGGAGAAGAGAAAGAAGCTCTACTTTTAAACTGAAAGAGGAAGAATTAAGTGAGAAGAATATTTAAAATCTTTACTGCATAAAAAACATCTTTCTTTATTACAATAATATTACAAAAGAGCATTTTTAATGACTTAAAAATCATCCATTTAAGAATAAGCACTTTAAATAAAGGAACTAGTAATTAGGTTTCTTGAAAAGAAATTTCTCCTACATTTCATACTAATGTGATAAAGTACATGTGTAGTCACGGTGACTTGTAGAGAATGTGTTAGGGTGCGTTTAAGCTCAATTTTGAAGGCAGAAAGAGCGATTTGAAACACTCATCATAAACGCTCATCGTAATCGCAATTCCAAGGTGTACTGTTTATGCTCACTTCTCTGGCTCCAATTCTCACTGGGTGGCCTTAATTGGCCTTGCAGCTGGATTCGCAAACCTGCACTGCGCATGCTTCGTAGACCCACTAGAGGTCAGTGCGTTGACCCCATTTAAACGCGTTTACAAATGATTGTGCATTTATGCTTCCCCAGAATCGCCTATTTTGCAGAATCGCCGATCGTAAACGCACCTTTTTGTGAGTTTACAATCGGTGATCGTGATCGCCGTTTTTCGGTGATTCTACAAAAGTGAGAAAGGACGCAACCGTGTTTTGAACTAAACGCGTAACAGATGCCCGATTCTGGGCAGAAAAAGTTGAGCATAAACATACCCTAAGATATAAGATCCAGACACCATTGCCAACGAGTGACCAATAAGTGCTAAAAGACTTTACAGCGACACAAAGTCATCAGCTTCAAAGTTTCTTGACCCTTAACAACCAATCTGATTTTTTCATATGAACACCTTCCTCCCTTTTTCTTCTTCTTGTCTTTTTTCATTTCGAGGAGCTCCTTGGTTTATTCTTCTCCATATCCTACAATCCTAGCACTTTAGCAGGGCAGCTGCAGGAGTTGAAGTTTGTTCCATTACTTTGCGAGATTTTCCAAGAATTCATCTTTTAGGAATAAACTCGCATCTTTGACTTTCATCATACTCTCCAAATAAGAGCGCTCCTCCATCATTTGCCCCAAATCAGCTGCAATTGTGCATCTCCAATCCCGTGCCTCGGATTTCCAGGAACTTTCCCCGCGACGGCTGCACATGCAGCGCTTGATTCATCTCCATTTTCTCTCTGCATCCCTCGTGCAAATCTCGCAAATCAAACATGGAGGATTTCGAGAGCGACGATATTGAAATCGATGCCGCTCCATGTAAATGGATGGTCTTGCTCTAAGCTCTTACGATGTAATGCGAATGACTCGAAGCTGATATCTCCGCAAGATTTCCAGGAAATTGTAGCGAGACGTGTCTCTTGATTTTGGTAATGGGAGGAAGGAGAGAGCCTGATTTGGAGTAATCTGTGCTCAAACTGCGGCAGGATTCCTTGTCACGAGGGCTCAGCTCAGAGAGCAAGATTAGGCCAAGAGGGGGCTTGAAGGATTCATATGTGGCTAGCTTGGGGGAGATGCGAGAAGATTCTTCTATCTACGAAGGTTTAACAGGATACTTCGGATAAACGGAATCACAAATGTAAAGAGAGATTGAAGCTTCTGTAAAAAATTCTGAGAAATGCTATGATATAGGTTATACATGGCCTTAAATAACGATAAAGAAAGAAAACAAATCTAACTGAGGGGAGAAGAATTCTATAGAGTTTTCTGGAAAACAGAAATACATATTAACTAATAAAATGTATCACTTTTCTAAACAACAGCCAAAGAGTGCTTGCATAATCTTTAGACCTCTTCCCGAATTTTCTTTGGATACTTTTCCTAAACTTTCCTAAACTTTCTAAACAAAACAGAAGAACGACATGCAAAATTTTTCATGCGAACAAAAACACTATAAGTTGCTGAATAGTTCATTGGTCTGATTACAAGTATTTCTGTTTCATATTGGAAGGGTGTTTCTTTGCCTTTTCATATTGAATGCTCGAATGTGGTGACAGAAACATCCTCGTGATCTTCAGCCACATTGTCTGTTCAAAGCCAGAATGGCAATAAAACATATATAACATATACAGAGTACACCCTTCTGACTCTCAGCAACACTATATTTTATTTATTTATTTATTCGGTTTAAAAACATCAACACGTAAAGTTCAGGAACTCATAATGGTTGATTTACAATGAAATTGAATAGTGTAAACAAAATTGAACCAAAAAATATACACTTAAGAAGAACATATTGTTTCACACACATGAAAATATGGTTACAATACAATATACAACGGCTGGTTAGATGTGGCTAGACCAAGGCGAGATATGACGAGGAAATCGAAAAGAAGAGAAATGACTAAAGAGAGAGAGAGAGAGAAGAAGAAGTGGTGAGAGAGAAAGA